CAAAGCCAAACATCTGCTTGGCATCCAATGGTGCTCACAATTTTCTTTTCCTTACAGGAATGTCTGTAGACCATTTATTAGCTTCATTTGTGCTTTATGACTACCTTTTAAATAGAACATTTGTTTAGAGAAGGTTTGAAAGCTAAAGACAATCCCAAGAGATTCAAGAAGTAGATCTGCCTTTGACCCTTTATTTAATGGACTCGTGCTATGACAGAAAATATTCAAAGTGTCCCTTCAGACCTCTTCTTGGAGAACCTTTGATCAGAGTTAGGTGAAAGGTTTGGCCTGGAATGCCACTCCCAAGTGACGATGCTCAATGAAGTCAAGTGTTTTTTTAAGCACTACGGGAAAATGGCCTAAAAGAGGGGTTTAACTTTGATTAGGGATGTTGCAAGTAGGGAAAAATGCTTACTCCAATTTAACTTCTGCTTTTCAGAAGACATGAGTACATAAATTATGTAGAAGAACGGTGATTACTAGACAGTCTAAAAGCTGGAGGCTCTAAGCCAATTTTCAACCAACTGTCACAGAACATAAGTTTCAAAATATGTTTAAACTAAACTGACAACTACAGAAAAAATGTAAAATTCTTTGAAAGGCTGGGTTATGTGAACTGATGAGGACCTCAGAAACCACACGCTATTTAACACACAGCAACAGTTCACTGCAACATTCCCAGTCTGCTGGAGGGAACAGTAAAAGAGGCAGAGCAGCTGCTCCCTGGGATTCAGCTGATCTAAGCAGTAGAAAGGCTATTCCCGGCAGAGTGGCCAACAGGAGTAGAGTTCATCCAGAAACTGCAAGGGCGATGGGAGGTCCTCTGACCCAGATGCTTTCAAGCTGGGATGGAACGCCCCAAGAAGGGTCTCTGTGTGTGTGTGTGTGTGTGTGTGTTTCCTGCCTTTCCATGTCAGAATAGCTTCACTCTTATCTGCTCATACGTCTAGGTCCCCAGGAAGACTGATATCATGGCTAAATTCTAATCTTTTCATTTCACAGGTCATGAAACCAAGGCCAGTGAGGTTCCATTAGGTAGGTATCCAAAGTGCCAGGGAGGGAGAGTCAGAACAAGCATTTCCTGAATCTCCAGTCAAAATGCCATGATATCAGCTATACAAACTATAAGGCCTCAAGGAATAAGGCACTGGTGACCGAGATCAGGAATTATTTATCTAGAACTTTGAGATAGCTGTTCATTTCAGCTATGTCCACAAATCTCCATGAGTCCTACAGCAAGTTTTTTCCTTTCTCGTCCAAGGAGTTTAAGGGGTTCTGTGAAGCCCCTAAAATGGTGCATGTGAGCTCTCCTATTTGTGTGCATGTGTTTCTCCTGGAAGAAGAAACGGATATTCTTCCAGAGTATCAATGATCACACAAATAAGAATCAATGGGGTTGACCAGAGAAGTAGAAGGAAAGATGTACCTTAAAAGAATGGGAGTAAAAAAAAGAATCCAGGGAGCTTGGGAAAAAAAAAAAAGAATGGGAGTAAGGGGCTGGGGATGTGGCTCAAGTGGTAGAGCGCTCGCCTGGCATGCGTGTGGCCAGGGTTCGATCCTCAACACTACATATATCCACTGAAAACTAAAAAATAAATATTAAAAAAAATTCTCTCTCTCTCTCTCTTAAAAAAAAAAAAAAAAAAGAATGGGAGTAAGAGGGAGGAAGCATCCCTAAAATGCTGATGCTATAATCAGAAACATGTATCAGAAACTACCTGAAAAGTGAGTGCATGCTTCCCAGGAAATAGCTCAGGTTACCCAGGGAAATGAACACCACAGTGAAAAGACAAGCCACACAGCGTTTGTGAACACTGATAAAAACAGATCACATTCTACTTCTTGGGTCTGACATGCTTCACCAAACATATTTGAGGTATAACATGCAACCTACATTGTGTAAACCAAAACCAGGACTCCAAAGCCCTGAACGATTTGGGGGCCCGGGGAGGGATTAGTTTTGTCTCCGGATATTCCCTTCAGAAAATGGTGGTGAGAGGGGTGATGACTACCAATGGAGCGCAACTGGCTTCTTTCCGCCCAGAGGGAAGCCCAAGGGCAAACGCTCATCTGTATAACTGTGTCAATGAGGCAAACACTCAAAACTGCCTTCTGCCCTGGATGCTGATAATGTCAGGGAGGAAAGTGGCTGATGTAATCCTGGAGATGGGAGGAACATGGAGAGACTATTATCCATTACAGGAAGTCTCTTCCTGCTGCTTCCACTCTGGCTGTGGCTAGAAAGAAGACGGCAGAAGGTCTGGTTCTGAATTATCTTCTTGTGTGTAGATTGACAGGCAGTAGAATGGAAAGCAGTTTCAATTTGAGGGAAAAGCCCTGAAAGCCATCATGAACACAGACAAATTTGGGAAACAGTACCGTACTGTATTTTGAAATAATACTCGGTATTTATCTGGAGCGTCTATCTAATGGAGTAAAATGGAGAATTTCCTGAGGCTGGAAGATTGCAATCATCTGAGAAATGAGAACTGACACTGGGGTTTAATCGCCAAGAATGATACACAGACTTGCCCACCTATTCCCCTCGCGTGACAGAGGCATTATCATGGAAATTACACTTGGAGGTCAGAGAGTGAAATGACAAGAAGATGGTCTGTGCCAATAGTTTATAAATGTCAAGAGGCACCAGGCCAAGAAGGTGCACAGACATAAATCCAGCAGTGGCACTGATGTAATTAGAGGCTTAGGCCAATTCTCAAAGCCAGGCCGGAAGCTGAACCATAGTCCTTATGGGAAAAGAGAGCATGAAGGTAATTAGAAAAAAAGAAAAAAAAAATGCTGAGGAAAGATATTTTACTTAAAGGAAAAAAAAAATAAAAATAAAACACAACCCTGAAATAAAACTCAGTGTCTGCATAGGGACCTTCATGGTCCTCAAACATGCATAAAACAGAACCAAGGGAGGAAGGGGCCACACACATCTTTATAAGCTCAGTTTCAGAGCTAAGCTGCACGTGTATGGCAGAGTGTGTGTGAGTCCCTCCCAGGGTCCCTTGGGCCTGGAGGAGCCCTGAGATCCATGTGACTTGTGAGCATACAGGACAAGGATCTTGGGAGGGAATTTCACAAGCACAGAACATATTTCTTCTCCCTTGACTCTGCTTTCTAGTTTTTCCCTCCCTCTGCTATTGTTTAATTTTGTGGTTCAACTTTTTGAAGAATGGTGGGAGGTACTGTGTTAAGCAATGCTTTAAAAATGAAGCTCAGCTGCAAAGATTGCATTACGAAAACTGGCCTCCCACATCTTTCAAACCCATTGTGACTCTGCTTAAAACAAAACTTCAGATGCAAGAAGGACAGCAGGTAGTGAGTCTTACTTGTCTTTGTAAGCACAGCATCTGTGCCCAGCACACAGCAGGCACACATGGATGCCCTCTTAAGGAAACTGGCCACTTTATTTGCATAGCCCTGTCTTCTGTTCTGTGTTCTATTTCCAAGTAGAAGCCCCTAGGCTAACACTCGTGCTTTTGAGCAATCTTTTCTTGATTCTTATGAACCCATTAGTGAAAATGATTAAGTGACCAAATCTGGCACAAAATTATCCTGATGGAAGGGTGTCAGAGCCAAATGTGAGCAAGACCTTGTCAAGATATTAGCAAGGAACCAAGAAAAGTCATTGTAAAAGCAGATTTTAAAAAGCATGAGGCTACCCAAGTAAAAATGAGAGTCAAAATAATTTCCAACTCTTTCTTCATGATTAGGCAAAGAACCTAATTGTTACTAACATTAAACATCTGCACAGTCTATTTTCCAAAAGCTTTATAATAACATTATTTATTAATATATGGCAAAGAGATAAAAAAATAGATTCTATGGCTAAAATAGATTTCTGGGAATAACAGGCAGCTCTTAATTCTATGAATATGACCTAAGTTTATAAGTTGAAGTGATGCTTACATAGGATACTTATTAAGTATGCTTTAAATTCTATTTCAGGAAGTATATTTCAATTGAAATTTAGGAATATCTATAAGGTATGAATTATAAGTACAGAGATAAAATTATATACAGGATATTTAAGTGACTAAACCCAGAACTGTCCCCCTTCCCAAAGTTTTTAAAAGCATAACACTTTATTAGTGATTATAACTTTTTAAAAAAATAACAAAAGCAAAAGACAGTTTTAAAGATAATGTAAAATACACAGATTCTGAGAAATTTCTTTGGAAGTCTACTAACACCTTGTCTCTCAAGACGATAAAGTGATTTGAAAAAGCGCTACCCTGAGCCTAGTCTGCCCAGTGGGTAAGATTCAATAAGTGGACGACAAAGAGGAAAATCCTTAGGTTTCATGGTGATTAGAAGGGAGGAGACGGGGCATTGTCATGAGCATATTTCAGATTTTAGTTAGACTAATTTTATGGATTAGAACACGATAACTCAAAGAAGATTTAAATTTAGGATATAGGCAATATTATAAATTAGCAGGCAAGGGACCATAGAGTCAGTAATGAGTCCTCAGAAAGATGCTCGGCTATTTGGAAAATGACCCAGTTTATACCTTCCCTCCTGCCATTCCCCCAAAACAAATTCTGGCAGTAGGATCAAAGATTTAAGTGTAGAAAACATAAGCCTAACAGAAATAACCCAAGATGGAAATGCAGGTAAATAATCTTTTTTTTTTTTTTTCCCCAAATGTGTGTGCTGGGATTAAAGTGATAGCCTTGTGCATTAAACACTCAATCTACCACTAGCTGCATCCCTAGCCCCAATAACCAATTTTAAGTACAAATAACAGCAAGAAAACTGTGGATTCAAATTATGAATAATACTTATTGATGATTGTTAGGGCTCACATTCAAAAGCTCTGCTGACAAATTCCATCCCAGTGTGTGAACCTCAGGTCTTGAGTGAATGAATTGAGTAACCTCACATTTACAGATTCTGAGTAGGATAACTTCAAGGACCTTTTAAAGATCAAAAACTTGATCAAAAGATAAAGTTGCTTTTGTTGAAATCTGACAACATTGAGAATTTACCTGCAGCAAATGACAGCTCTGCACGACAAAGCTAGATCCAGGAAATACTGCCGGACTCCGAAGGTCAAGGCATACTTGAGGGTCTTCCCATCAATTATAAGAGCAAAATCGTTCTCTTTCCGAAGAGCATCCCCAAGGGTATTACAGTGCCGACTGAGGGTTTCCCTGGTTGCCTGGAATATTAAACACAAAGCCCATCAACATTTACTCCGTTTGTTCTACTCACATGCCTTCAGGATGTTTGGTAACTACATTTAGTTATCTTTAGTGTTTTTTATCTTTCAAATTGCTTTTGCAAACTTTCACTCATTTGGGTCTCACAATAGCCCCTTAGAAGAGATTGGACAAAGGTTATCTGACAAACTCCACGGAAGTCACACATCTGCTGGCAGCAGGGCTGGGCTGGGACCACAGGTTACCCATTCCTTGGCTGACTCTGCAGTCTTTGCTCATTATTCTAACCACACAATCACACTACGGCAAGAATATTTTCAGTAAATTATCTTGTTAAAAACCAAACCACTGTTCTAATTTATGAACTAGTCAAAATTGCTTTGCCATGAACCAAGGGGAAAAGTTGGGGAATACAATTTCAATAATTTATGGGTATTCTCTCAAAAGTACTCAACGCTATTGAAATTTAATTCACAGAAACCTTGAGGAGGAAATGCAGGATTTGTAATCTCTTGCCACTTCATGAATTGGCTTCTACAACTTTAATCATAATTTTGTGATACTGTATTTTAGCTAGAGATGGTGACATGCGGCTTGGTAATCTTTTTTTTTTGGATCAGGGATTGAACCCAGGGGTGCTTAACTACCAAGCCACATCCCTATCCCTTTTTAATTTTTTTTTTTTTTGAGATAGGGTCTTGTTAAGTTGCTTAGGGCCTCACTAAGTTGCCAAGGCTGGCCTCTAACTTGCCATCCTTCTGTCTCAGCCTTCCAAATTACTGGGGTTACAGATGTGTGCTGTTGTGCCCAGTTTGGTTTGGTAATCTTGATGGATCAAATAAAAGAAGCCCTCCCACCAATGAAGACTTCACTTTTAGACACAATGAAAACCTTCACTGTCAAGAAAAGCTCTGTTTGCTTCAACCTTACAGAAGGGATACATTTGTTTTCTCTGTCTAGAATTGCTTCCCAGCTCTTCAGAGGGAAACAGTTTCTAGATATTTAGTTTTTCTCCCCAAATCCTATAGACTTCCTATAACTTAATGGAGTCAACTTCCTGTTTCAATGAGCCCTAACATTGTGAAGAAACACAACACTGTCCCTGCACAGGGAAACACAAGGAACAAAACTCTGCTAACAAATTCCACCCCAGTGTGTGAACCTCAGTGTGTGAACCTATTAGATCATTGTTCTGAGGGCTAAGTCTTTAGTTATAAATATTAAATAAAATATATATTTATATAATAAAATACAGGTATGATAAAAATATATTACACTCACATCATAATTTTTATTATATTGATAGCTTGTATAATTAATGTTCCAATTTAAGGGTGTTGCATAGTTATTTCACAGTTAATTCACAAAGAGGGAGGTGAAGGCATAGGTAATTAAAATTTTATATGGGGGATTTTTGAAGGTGTTCCTGTAAATGTATTCAAATGTGGTTCACACTACGTTCTGGAATTTCAGAATCTGTTTATCAAAATAATAGACCACATTGTACTGTAAAATGAGACTGCCCAACTTTCCCAACACTGGAACTTCACTCAACAGCTTCACGGCTACCCTCCCCTCTCCCCCAGTCCCCATTACCTATAGTGACACAAAGGACCACCAGATAGAATTCTTCGAGAAATTTTCTGTTCACACTTTACATTGGGGGCTGTTTTAATTTACAGGCCTTACTCTATTTCCTGCTGGAAATGTTTGGCCCAAGAGGATTTAAGAGAAGGAGGTGAAAAATACCCGCGAAGTTCTTTAAGCAGAATTTACTGATGATAATTTATAGCATACTACCCTAGATTGTTTTAAAAACAATTTTGTATTGAGTAAATGAACAAACAAGGAAGTCAATGAACTGACATAAAATACTTAGTATGTGCTTTACACCAGGCACTTTTTTTTTGGTATCAAGGATTGAATCTGGTGGCACTTAACCACTGAGGCTCTTTCACAGTCTGTTTTTAATTTTTTTATTTTGAAACAGGGTCTTGCTAAGTTGCTTAAGGCCTAAGTTGCTGAGGCTGGCCTTGAAATTGCCATCCTCCTACCTCAGCCTCCTGAGCCACTGGGATTACAGGCGTGTGCTATGGTGCCTGGCTCACACTGGTCACAGTTTTAAGGGCTATATGTATACATTTAAGTCCACACTTAGTTTTAGCCTGTGCACAGGTGCTATTTATCTCCCTTCTGTAGTTGAAGAAGATGAGACAGCCCTATATCTTAGTTCCCTGATCAAAATCCAACTGCAATTAAATTCAGAATTAAATTTTTGTGCTAGCTTGTCTTTCTCTACCCAATCCAGGAAAAAGAAACCATACTTTGGAAGTACCAGGCAGAGCAAGTCATACATGGAATGCCCACACCATTTCTTCAGTTGTTTCCCTCCTCATTTGCCTTTCATCTTTTTTGTTTTCCACCAATAGAGCTCTCAAACAAATCTAAAACACAAATCATGTCTCTTCTTGCTCTACAATCTTTCAAAGAACTTCTTACTGCTGCTGAGATGACCTCCAAGCTCCTTAAAGTGGTTCTTACCGTTTCCCACACTCTAATCTCACCTAGGGTCCTTCACAGCACCCTCTGCCATAGTGCCCCTTGCATTTCTCTCTCCCTGAATGCCAGAAGCCTGCCCTACGTACGGAGCTCCTGGGTCACTCCATGTAACTCAGCCTTTGCTAGCAAAACCCTGCGTCCTTTGAGGAGAGAGATCAGGACTAACCTGCCTCCCCGCAACAAATAGTACCTGTAATTACGTGTGCTCAGGAAATACGTAGTTATTGAATGAGAGAACTGATAAATAATGATTTCATTCCACTGTCAGCATTCCATTTCCCCTTTATTATCACTTCTGATTATAGGCAGGAGGGGTAGGGTGGGGGGGGGAGAGGAAGGGAGGTAGTGAATGAATATGTATCTTCTTTTTCTTGTTCTCTAATTTTATTTTCTTCCTTTCTTTTTTTTTTTTTTACAATTTATTTAATTATTTATTATGGTGCTGGGGGTTGAACCTAGAACTTTCTGCATGCTAGGGCAGTACTCCACCAACTGAGCCACCTCTCCAGCCCTATTCCCTAATTTTCTAGGGAACAAATAATTTATTACTTCAACAGTCTTTCAAACACAGGCATTGTTCACTAAACTGCTTTTGTAATTTGTTTTGTTTTGTTTTAAGTTATTACCTGAGTGACTTCTGAGCCTACAACCTGAAATGAAACCTGAGAAGGACTCTGGGAGAACTTTAAGCTTCTTTAAAAATCCGCTGCAAAAAGCAAGTTAAGTGGACCCAGCACTGTGAACTGTCCTCATTAAGATCCACCTGTGGGTCCTGCCTTCCCCATTCTCCCTCCTTTCTCAGGCATTCTCTCACACTTTAAAATTCATTGCAAACTCTCTTATTTGTGGCATCAGTACCCCTGGGTTTCCTTGGTGACTATCACAGATCTTCAACAAATCAAGAGGTGTCAGGAGATAAAGAGAGGTAACATTTCAGGAGGGGAGTGGACACCTTCCCACAGCCCTCTCTTCTGTCAGCCTTCCTAGGGTGAAGGTAACAGCAAGGACAGAGCTGCAAACATGTTCCTATTTTAGTTTACAGTTTTATAAGTAGCTGTGCTCTTGGCTGTGTGCTGCAAGTTACAAGTTATGTTTTATCCTTATTTACTGCCGGGAGTATTTTAAAATTCTTTTATTTATGAAAGTCGATTGCTTCTCCCCTAAGCCTGGGAGTCATACTTTATGGCCATATTGCATTGAAGCTCATCTCTTGTAGCTCCAGATAAATTTATTACGGTATTAGCTGCTGCTTTGTTTTTCTCTTTGGCTACTGAAGGGGGAAATGTTTAAATATTTAAACTTAGTGACTTGTGAAAGTGAAGATACATAATTGAGAAGCTAAATCAGAAAGAGGATCAAAGACCATAGAACACAACATGATCCAAGGTCTGTATCCTCTTGTTCTGCATGTTTTTATTTGTGGGCTGAATATAAAGGAGTATCAGAGAGGTGGGGGACAAGTAGGAAAGGGGTCAGGCCAGAGTTTAGGTGGCCAGACAGATAAAGGAGGAGCCACAGGTGACGAGGGATTTGTGTGCACCACCAAACTGGGGTCTTTCTAGTCGCCACTCAAGTCAACTCTCCCTGTGCCCAGCACCCTACCCAGCAAGGCATTCCCAGTACAAGCCTCCCACCAAGCTTTCCTGTCTTGCCTTTTCAGTTTCAGTGCAATCAACACGGTTTCTCCCCTCAGTCTCGATAACACAGAAGATGGTTTTCGGCTGCTTGTAAAACTCTTGTATAATCTTGAACACTCTGAGTTAGAATAAAGAAAATGTTACTGTGCTTTTCTTATTATAGAGGACATGGAGCACAGAGGTAATTAGGATCCAGCATGGCCTCAACATCTAATTCTCCCTCAAATAATAAAAATTATCTAATGAGTATAGTAGGATGAACTCCTAGACTAGCAACTTAGTGATCAATCCAGGTGGTATAACACTTGACCAAGAAGTAAAGATTATCTACTGGATTTTTAAGAAACATGCCTGGCAAACAGTTAACATGTTCACAGAACACCCTCCAATAAAAAAAAAATATAACACAACAGCTATCTTTAGGAAATCACAGACTGGAAGCCTTATTGTAATCTTTTCATTACTTTTACATGACCTCCAACAAGGAAACCCTTGATAAAAATCACAGAGAGCGCCTTAGACAATGAAACCTGACACAGTTTTAGACTGAACTACATCGGAAGCCCTGATTTGTTTGAAAAGTATCATAGTACACAAGTTGTCATTTTCACTTTGGCAAAACTCCGCTTGGAACAGTCTAAAGAACCCAGAGGCCAGACGTGCAAAGAACATGTTAGGCCACCTAAGAACTATGTTTTTGATGGCCCAAAATGTAATGTTGCAGAAAAGCACCTGCCAAAAAAAGAAAAAAAAAAAAGTCTCTTTTCACTCTTTTCCAGTGTCTAGTCCCTTTGTTTCTTTCC